GATTGTTCAAGTTTGAGTTGTTTGTTTAAAATTGTTTTTTTTTAATCAGGAACATAATCAAATAATATTTTTTTCTTCTCCACCCTTTTTATTCAATAATGGATTTACTTTGTTTTATTTTTTGTTTTCTTGATGGTTTGTAGTTGAGTTTTAAGAATGAAATGTTGACAAACTAAAATAAACAAAAAAAAATAAGGGTTCAACTAAAACCAGACGTTGACCTGACAAATATTACAAACCTTCTCTGAACAGGATCACGTTTCATAAGAAACATTAAAATGCTTTGATTTAAAACAAACCATCAAGCTTCAGTTTTAAATCCTCTGAATGAAAAGAAACAGATTATCTGTCACAGAGGATGTTTCAGTTCTGTGAAGGAGAAACAAACATGTTGAGCAGGTTGAACACTTTATTTCAACAGAAATCAGATTCTTATCTGTTACTTTACTTAGACCACAGAAACTAAGATGTTATCTTTAAATGAAGTGAAACTCCYACACATGAATGGAAATGTTCCACAGAGGAAGAAAAGAGATTTTTTTATCTGCTGTTTATGACAAATGTTTTATCAGCTCAGTTTAAAGCTTAAAAATCAGAAACAATAAGTACTGTATGAAAAATGTGCTTTTATTATGGTATTTACCAATAATTTAATTACATTATTACAATTAACTGATTTACTTTCTGTAAACCAGTGTTTAATTTTTCCATGTTGTGTCCTTGTTGTGATTTTCAGATTCCATCATTCAGATTTTAAATGTTTTATTACAAATCAACCAAGATAAGGAAGAGATGAGCTGAACATTATAACTGATGATTTTATGATGATGTCAGCGTCTTTTCTGTCAGATTACAGATTAAACTCGATCTAAGTCACGTTTAAGTGATGAAAACAACTTGAATAAATCCTCTGAAGAGATAAAATTACCTGTTTTCTTTACGACATTAATGGTGTTAGCATTTTGGGAAAAAATATTGTAAAAACTGAAAGAAAACATGAAATAAAACTGAATATGATGCACAGAACAGAGAGAAGACGGTAGAAATGTTTAGAAGAAAAACAGAAGTGAACTAAWAGTAAAGTAAGTTCTCGAAACAAAGTTTGAAAATAAAGTTTTAAAGTAGTTTTAATTTGAAAAGCTTCACAGTTCAGGTGTGGAGACCCCTGCTGAGGAAATCCTCTGACCTACAGTTTTTCTCAGTAACTGATGAATCACAACATGTTTGTCACACAGAGCTGAGAGTCTGAGAAACAAAAATATATCATCTGAGATTTAAACATCAGTGGTTGTAGTTTATTAAAACTGGAACATTCCTAAAACATGTAAAGCACCATTATTAAAGTACATTAATAAAACATTTTACTGCAGCAGAAATGATTTCACTCTGTTTTAACAGGGAGCACCTCTCCTCACAGCAGCATGTTGGGATGTTTCAGTGTTTATCCTGCTCCAGTTTGTACTGGTATTTCACCAGGCAGTGTTAATACTGAATATAAACACTTTATTCAAGGTTTGAACTTTCACTTCTGTATTTAAGTTTCATTCAGGCACCAAACACTTCATGTGATGTAGAAAAATATGCTTAGTTTGATAAACCTCATGATACCAGGGAGGAAAACGCAATAAAACATTTTGCCTGAACACTGTTACAAACCTGAATGTGTCGTTCTTTTCAAGACACAAAAACAAAATCAATGATTTGAATCAGATCTTTTCTGAGGAAAGTGTCAGCAGAGACACCAGAACTAATAAAATAATAAAAAATGTTTTTTCTCTCTGGAGCACAACAAAAAATTGGGACTTTATTTTGTAGTAATCAAGTAAGTACAGCAAGTAAACTGTTGCTTATGGCCTTGGTAACCATATACTGTATTTATTTATGTATAATACTAGAAATTTAACTCTAAAAATCATCCATAAAGTGGGGGGATAGTATTACATACGGGTTATTGATAATTAGATTTTTATGCTTTGTAAGCCCAAAAAATGATGATCGTATTATAGTCGACATCGTATTATACATGAATAAATACAGTACTTGTGTCTCTCACTCCTTGGCAGCACTCTTAATAAGACAGACAGACAGACAGACAGACAGACAGACAGACAGACAGACAGACAGACAGACAGACAGACAGACAGACAGACAGAC